CGTACCAGATTTAACACATTTACTTTTTAACCTATAGAAATAAATCTTTATTTACGCACTGATTACTGAGTCATGATGAATTTACCGTGAATACCTAGACTACCCGGGCTATCAGCGTGGCCAGTCCGTAACACTAGTGCTAATAACACTTTCTCTCACGTCAGCTGCAATTACGCCAGGTCTTTCGATTTTGAGCTGCGTACTTCCATTTAATACTCACTGCTTGTTCAGTGCACGAATTTGTGAAGAACTACATAATCTTCTGAGCAATTCTGCGTTATCGTGCCCTCCCCGTCAAATGGCTCATTTTGCTTGCTGTTAATTTTGCACATGTATTTCAGGAGGATGGCCGACAGCGACGATCCAAAGCAGCTTCTGATCGAAGCGGAGAGCATGAAAAAGCTCGCCTTCTGTGGCGTTGCTGTTTCCACAGTTGCAACACTGGTTGCAATAATCTGTGTGCCAATGCTCTGCACCTACATGCAAAATGTGCAGTCAAATTTGCAGGACGAGATCAGCTTCTGCAGGACACGTGCCATCGGGCTGCGAGGAGAATACACCAAAGTTAGTCTGCTCCTCACTTTAGCGGAAACCAAATCCAGTTACTCTCGGTCACTTGATAAATTACATAAAGTTGTTAGGAAATGTAACTAACGTCGTCCACACACATTAGCCACACATCGCTGTTTTTGCCGATTTTTGGAGTTGGAGCGGATGAATGTGTCAACTTTCGCAGATTATAGCTGAATGTCGACATAACAGTTTTTTGACCTAAACCACTAAAGTGTTAAATTTGATATGTCTCCTAAGATGTCTGCTCGTGTGATATGGCTAACTAAACCCTAGGAATTTGAAATAATAGCTTCAATTTGCAATCTATAAAATTAGCTCGATTTCGGTCAGAAATCAAGACCTAGGATTGAGGAAAATTTCGCGATTACATTGTCAAGAATTCTAAAAACGAAGATTTTTTTACATATCTGCATATGCCTACGTAAATGGTCGGAATTTACAGTTTTAAGAAAAAATTCATTCTTCAAACTTTCATGGTTTTTGAATTGAATTAATTGAACATACGTCACGCGAATCATCATAGTACGCCTGTAACTTTTCAAAAGCGCTTGAAAATTGACAACTAGTAGCAGAATGGGTGATCTAAGACGCAAATGTTTCTCCGGTTTAGTTCCGACTGTAAGAATCACAAGTTTATGGATAATTTAATTTTAGCTTGAAACATCACGCTCGGCCCTTAAAGCGGAGAGACAGAAGAGGCAGGCAGTCTTCCAATGCTGCAGCTGTGGTATTGGAGAAGCTGGCCCAGTTGGTGCACCTGGACTCGACGGTGAGGACGGTCGCGATGGCGCTCCCGGCAAACCTGGAGCACCCGGTCAGGATGCTGAAGAAGGCCAGCGAGTAAGTCTTCAATAATTTACAAATTTCCTATCAAAAATTATCTCATTTCAAAATTTGTCGGAAAAACAGCGGAGCGAAACAATCTTATTTACGGAAACGAAACTTGACAAAATCCACCTTTGTAACAAAGTGAATTTCAGCCAACAGAAAAAGACTGGTGCTTCAACTGTCCACCTGGACCACCAGGCCCTCGCGGTCAGCCAGGAGGAAAAGGACCAAGAGGCCCACCGGGAGACAGTGGACCAAACGGACAAGCAGGAGAGCCAGGTGCGCCTGGACCACAAGGACCGAAAGGACCCAATGGAGCT